TAGAATCATAGAATCCTTTAGGTTGGAAGGGACCTTCAAGATCATCAAGTCCAACCATTGAGCCATTAGGGCTCTAAAGTCCTCTGCTAAAACAGATCAGAATCTGTCAGGGTTGGAAGGGACCACAAGGATCACCCAGCTTGAAATGTGTCACCCTTAAGAAAGGGAGGAAGGTAGCTCAGTTTGGTACTGTGAACACGACATGGGCACAGAGTGCAAGACAGGAGGTGGGAAAGCCAAAGGCCAAACGTTTTGCAATTAGATGATTTGAGGTTGTATTCCTGGACAAAACTCACCCCTGCACATGAGAAACCTTGGGAACCTTGGTCTTGTGTTGGCATAGCAAAGTCCAAGGAGGCCGTTTGCAAAAGGAACTCCTGCCAAGGGCAATCAGCAGCACGACAGGTTCCCTGTGCCAGTGCTGGCATGTTCTCATACCCACAGAGCCTGAAACCTGGGAGCTGAGGTCCAGCCAAAAGCACCTTTAGGGAAGGAGGATGGCATCTCCCCTAGCTCACTATGGACAGATCCTGGTTCCTTTTCTTCCCATCTGTCAAAGACTGTAATTTTTTTTCTCATTTGGGGTAAGGAATGAGCTCTTTGCCCATAACAAAAAAAAAAAGTAGAAACATTACAAAACAGAGATCCCTCTTTATCAGACTGATAGGGTTTCACCCTGCAGGATTTGGTCAGAAAAAACAATGTTCCCCTCTGCTCCTCACTCACAAACCTCCCCGTTTGCCCTCCACAACCGGAAACATGGAACTGCTGAACATGAGCACTGGCAAAACTACAAGTACACCACCATAAAGTCCAGGCTATCCACTTTACTGCACACTAATCTGTTTTACTACCTGTGTTATAGTGACAGAATTGTTTTCTGCAACCTAGTTCAGATTAAGAAACTAGGGGATAAGACACATTAAAACTTCTGCAATATATATTGCCCGTGCCTCGGCCAGTGTAAAACAGCTTCCGAGGGGAATTCAGCAGAAAGTGAAGGGCAGGAACAGCCTTAGTCTGAAAAACTGGCACTGCTCTAGTGCTACAAGACAGAGCCTCAGGCGGTCACTGTAAATCTGCCCCCACGCTGTCAAAGTCAACAGAGCTGCTCCAGTGGAGATTTGGGTTAGTTCACGTGAGTCTTTTTGGGAAAATATGCTTCATTTGCATCATTTATGAAATGCAAAGAGAAGTCTGTTACACAGTAAGCAGCACAGCCTAAAACCAAGTCCTCACACCAAGGAGCACGCCGAGGGAACGAGGGACCGTTTCCTGAGGATGTCTGCAAACAAAAGCTGTTGTCAGTGAGAGCATCAGACCCTGCATGCCCTGCCAAGGCACCGGGTGGCACGGCTGCCCTGAGCTCTGGGGAACATCCCTGTGCTCACACACCAGCCTCACTGCTCCAAGTCCTGGCTCTGAGAGTCACAGCACAGCCTGGAGACGTGGCTGTGGAGGGGACAGCAACGCTACAGCCTTTCCCTAAAGCCAGCCGAGCAAAGAGCAGAGCCTGTGCACTCCCGAGGCAAGCCTTTGATCTGCGTGGCCACCTTCCAAAGCAGGGCCATTTACTGCTGCTGGAGCAGGGGGAAGGGGTGGGGGTGAGGCAAGTTTGGGTCTTTCCTTTCGTGGCTGTGATGCCCACACGTGACACCAGCAAATGCACCACTTGGCCCCTGCAGCCCCCCCCAGGACACAGGGGCTGACACCTCGTGCAGGAGATGCTCCGTGTGCCCAGTGTGGTTTCTGTGTGGTTGGAGCCCACCCACCCCTGTGCCCCCACCCAGGCTGTGCCAGTTCTGCTTCACCACTGATTTGGGAAAGAAAGGGAAGGAATGCACAAGCCATGGCAATAATTACCTGGTTTAGTAACTCTACTAGTTACTCAAGACTATGTTGAAAGCTTATTTTGGCATTTTCAGAAGTTCTTTTTTTTTTTTTTTTTTCAGAAAAGATTAGCAAAAAAATCCAGTGTTAAACTACTTTTTCTTTTTTCAGGAAAGTAAATCCAGCCTTGCTGCAGGGGCATCCTAACAGCTCTGGCAGGGCACGGCTCTGGCAGCTCCCAGGAACCAGTGCCCCATTCCTTTAATGAGAATTTCCAAATCACTGCAGTCTCTCATAAGTCAACCTCAATCTGGCATTAAATGCCCAGTCAATCACATCAGATATATTAAATATGCTCTTGGGCATGTGGGTTTCATTTGCCCCATGTCCTGCAAACTCCCACCACGGCCCCATCTGCAGCCACCGAGAGGCTTGGCATCTCAGCCTGGATCAGTGCAGAAAGAGGGATGGTCAAACAAGCATAAATCTTATTCAAGAGCAGAGCACAGGAGGGGAGGACTATTAAATGGACATAACTCTGAGCAACTGCGAGGCAGGTGGGAAGGTACAAAGGTACAATTGCCTGCAATTAAGCCTAACAGTGCCCAGTTGTATCATCCCCCGTGTTACTCTATAACAGCAGAAGGGAAAGTAAAGTTCCTTGCAAAAAGGCAAGAGATGCTCAGTTAATTGGGATAAAAATCCACTGCATCATCGTGGGTACGGAGCACATGGCACTGGTTTGAACGCTTGGAGAGAAAGAGAAGAAAGTGGGTTGGAAAGTCTGCAGATGGGAGAAGACAGAAGTGATCAGAGCAGCACTTCACCAGCCCCAGCACCAGATCATCAGCTGTGACCTGCACCCTGAGAGGATCAATCCCCTCCAGCTCCACCCCCACGAGCAACTCCAGGCACTGGCAGGTTCAGGGTTAATCTGCAGAGCGTGTTCCTCACTCGGTCATGGTCAGGCGTGAAGCATCTCCTCCACACCAGAGAGTGGACAGGCATGTTTTTATTGGAAGACAAAGCAGAGCTGGCAACAACCCACAGAGGCATCCAGGGAGCCCCCAGCCTACAAGTAACTGCTTTGGCACATGCATTGCAGGCAGTGGGACATCACTTCAGCACCTGGCAGTCTGCAGAAGGGACACGGGTTTTGGGGTGGTTCCATGAAGGTCTCCCCCCACCTGATGGCAGAGCAAGTTTTCCCACTGCTTCACTGTGGATGATGGTGGTTGAAACCATAAGATGGTGCCCCAGGTAGCATCTACCTAAGACTGAGTGCAATGGAAGAAGCAGCATTTCCCCAGGCAGAAAGCTTGGTGTGAACATGTCAGGGACTCAGCCATCAGGGGCAGCAGCAGTCCCTGCTCTCCATGGCACACATCAATCACACTCAACTATATTAAAACCTCAACCACAGCCTCCCCAGGAAGTGATGTCCTAGTTTTAGTACCAGACCATGAAGTTTACAGAAGCCTCCACTCACTTCCATGCGTCTGACACCAAATATTAGCAATCTCTCTTTTTTTTCACTTTCAAACCACACAGCTTCCTAGACACCCATCTGCAGGGAACTGAAAATACCAAAGACATGGGCTGCCTACTTACCCTTTTTTTTCCCACCTGACTGCTTCAGAGACATTCCACACAATTTACCCCAGTGCTTTAAAACAACATTTAAGTAGCACCTAAATGTCCTTTCAGTGCCTCCCAACAGCAGTGGGTCTCTCCCCCACCACAACCTGCTTGCTCCTGCTCGCCCTACACAGAGCCTGGCTGTTTCCTTCTCACTTACAGAGCTACCTCTGTGGGACTGAGCCTTTGCAGTGGCTTACAACAGAGTAAGCCACTGATCATGACAGGCTATGATTCAAGCATTGCTTCCACTTTACAAAACATCTTTTCTTCCATTACCAGCTATACTCTCAAAAAAACCCTTACAGTGCACTAATAAAGAAAGAAAAATCCCTTTTTAAAAACAAATAATATTTTTGGAACTGCTTTAATAGCCAGAATAAATATTGAAATTTCTTGCAATTACAGATCATTGTTCAAGCCTACTTCCCATTGCAGATTTAATCAAAGGCTGCCCAAGTTTTTCATTGAGTCATGAAAGTGATATCAAAATCATAAAGGAAGAGCAAAGTTACATGCACTGCTTTGCAGCTGACAGAAATGATTGACTGGGGTGATTTCATTGCTGTGATTATAAGCTGCCACAATAAACAAGCAGCTATTTCATTTATTGCTCTACTCCATGCTCACCTTTGGCTGAAACCCAGACCCAGCTATTTCACACCAGCCTGTTCTCAGGGCTTTTACACTGGTGCCCACAGAAAGCCTTCATAGGTAATCTGATTTCAGGGTAGGGGACCACTGCTGCCACCCTCAGCAGCACGCCAGGTCTGGGCCATGCTGGTACTTCACAGCCTCGTAGGTGCAGAGTTTATCAGCTCATGCCAAAGCAAGGATGCCAGAGTCTCTTCAAAACACTCACCCATCCCCACACCACCTGGATATGTGGATACTGCTGCTGCCTGCCTTTGGGGTGCCGTGTGACAGGGACAAGGCCATGTTTTGTTCATGGTGTTGGTGAAACCCCCCGACACAGCCCCTGCTGGCAGTGTGGCCAGGGAAGGGGATGCAGCAATGGGACATACTGTACAGCCCAGCTGCTGGTGCACGGGGGATACTGCACCCCTTTATACAGGCTTCTGCACCCACATTAGTGAAACGAGCCCTGTTTGGGAAAGCAGCAGAGGTGCTGCAAACCCAGCTGGAAATAAAAGGGGCTGTCAGCACCAAACTGGTCACTGACCACATTTTCAAAGGCATTTGGAGACCCCACAGGCCCAAAAGGCACCCAAAGGAGTCAAAACACACCTGCACCCACTGAACCCGGTGACAAAGTTGAAACCCACCAGGTCTGTTCGAAAAACCCAAAACACCACCAATTTACCTCAGAAAAACTGCCCCTTAGCCCCTTTAGGCTCCACATATGACTTGTTTCCCTAAACAACATTGGAAGCACAACCAGAAAATAAACCTGCTGCTAGTGGCCGTGCAGGTGGACACGGCTCCTTTCCCTGCCCTGGAACCTGGAGCAGAGATTTCTGGCTTCTTTCTGCTTTTACAGCCCCTGGAGCCGCGGGGGCTGGTGCACTCACCTGCACCGTACGTCGTGGCCAGCATGATGGAGGAGACCCACGCGATCTCGCTATAGGACGTGCCAAAGAAATCCTGGATTTCTTTGAAGAAGATGGCTAAGCCTTTGGGGAAGGCGTAGGCGAAGCC